GCCTGCCAGTCGATATCCACCAGTGCTAAACAAACGCCCGGTTTTGATTTCGCCGCTCAATGGGCGCGGATCCAGAGGGCCATTGAACAATACAAGTTAAGTGGCCTTACGACTTTGGTCGCTGTGATTAGTGGCGGATAAGTCATTAACGGTCATTCCGGTATCCTAAGCCGTTGAAGACAAACTTTCTGGATAGGTAATTCGCTGTGCAACCACCTGTGTGATTGTAGACATGGCACTCCGACGGGACAGGAAGAGACTCATTCTCTTTCTTGCAGCCAGGATAGATCGATAAGACTGAACAATGAAATGAAAATAAAACGTGGCTGTTTCAGGGTATTTGAGGATGATGCAGGAATATGCAATCACAGGTTACAAGATTTAGACCCGCTGCTTAAGTGATGACTCGTTTAACTCGACTGCGCGACTACCAACTGAAATTATTGCAGATCTTCAGGCTACTTGACTCAGCTTGTGTAGCGACCCAAATAATGGGTCACTTTGAGGCGTCACCTTCATCAGATCATGTCTTAGTTGTCAGGATACGACCAAGGGCACCAGAATAACAAGGTTTAAATTTGCACTGGAGCTTGCGTTGCTTCCTCGAGCAGTAACGGCGAGGCAATAACGTGTGCTGGTAGTGCGAGGTCATGCTAGAGAAAGACAGCAAGTGACACCTGCTGTTTTAGTAGGTTTGTGGGAGCCATTTTAAGCATTCGGCATTCGAGTCGTTAATTACCGGAATTGTATCGCCCGCGTTGGCTGTTGGCATGGTGATTGTTCGATCATCTGAATAACCAGTAATGCTACTGGAAACTATGTTCGTCTAAGCACCCCCATTTGGCTAATTACTCTTTTCAGGCTAAGTCTCAGCATGGAATAGGGAGGGGAAGGCGGTCATCATACTTGCTAATAAACTGGAGGTCCAATAAAATATGACTCAATGAGCTCGCAGCTCATGCAATTGTCACCTAGCACGAGAAGTTCGGTCTCATCGAACCTGGAAATGTGGGCGGGTCCCGTCGAATGAGGGCGAGTTAAGAACTAGTATTGTGTTCCCGTGCTGCTGCCACGTGTTCGGCCATTCGCGTCAACAGCAGTCTTCCAGGGACCCCTATTTAGTTGCTTTGCCCACCACTGCGCCAAATACGATTAGAGTGCAGACATTTCTTAGAGTGCAGTAGGTCTTTTGGTCTAAGTACATGGCGGTTGATGGTTACCTCCGGTCTGTTCGCGCAGTTTGGGTGGTGTTCGTCTATCTGCACTCTCACGCACAGGAAGTGGGTATGTGCCAGTTGGCCCGTAGCGCAATCTCTCTCTCTCTCGAATGCTACAGCGATTGAGGGAAAGGTGCCACGTTCTTCTCCCCCCCGCCCCCGGCTTTTCACCCGATCATCTAAATGATAGCGAACTTGCGCCATAAAACTCAGTTTTTGATACACTGTAACAGTGTTACTTCCGCATCGTTTCACACATAGGCAAAATGATCACAGGCACACCCACGCACACCCGCACACAAATACACAACATAAATAAGTTTTCAACACACGCAGCACTTCCTGGTAAACACTGCTGTAACGTTTCCTGATGGCCTATTTACAAAGCCACCTGTGCGACTACCTCTTACTGATCCAATGGAAGACTCAACGCAAGGAGGTCGTGGCAGACGGCAGGAAAGTGGTGACATGCAGGAGCCTGAATGGAACCAGAGTGTTGATGATGGTTCGAGTTGCGTGAGCGAAACGGGGAGGAGGCGGAAGAACGTGGACGACCTGCTGACGGAGGTTATCAAACCTTTCGGTTGGTGGCAATTTATTGTCACCATGGTAGCCGTCTGGTCGGACATCCCTGCTGCCATTTTCCCCGTCTACGGCAATTCGGTGCCGAGATTCCGTTGCGCCGCCGATCCACCTGTTGAGGCCCTGCTTCTGCGCAACTCCAGTTCCTTCAACGTTCCAATCTACGTCTTTGCACCGAAAGGCCCTGCCACAATGATTGGTAACCAGTATGCCTACGACTTTGACACAATAGCCGCATCGATTGGACCCTGGTCGCAGAACATAACTGAATCGGACTTGGAGGGGACAGGCGAACAGATGTACGGTTGTTACCGGTACAAGAGGAACTGGAGCAGGATATCCAATGCCAGTCAGCTGATTGCTGCGCCAGCCCTTCCGCCAACAACAGAGTTAGAGACCTGCAAGGCTGGCTATGTGTATGAAGTAGATGAATTCCAGTATCCTTCCGGTATAGTTATTGAGTGGGATTTAGTCTGCGAAAAGGAGTGGCTAGCACCCCTCAGCACCTCGCTCTACATGCTGGGTATGGTACCCGGCTTTTGGATTGGCGGCTGGTGCGCAGACGCGATTGGTCGACGGCCAACGGCTTTGGCCTTTCTAGTGGCGCAGATCGCTTCTGGCCTCTTGTGTACCCTCGCACCTCATTTCACCGTCTACGCAGC